TTTTACTTTTGGGGTCTGGAATTTTAAGTGAATATATTCTATTAACATTTTAACAAAACATTGATGAGTTAAGGATATTCTTAAATTTACACTTTAGCTTATTAAGCTCCCACAATAAGCTCGACAGGACTTTTTCCAACATCTTAAACTATCTGAAGGTCATATAACATAAGATTTCAGAGTATAACATTTCCTTATTCGACTTTTACAACTATCGCAAAACAACACACTGACTGAGCCAATGAATCTTTACCATATGCTTTCCTATCAACACGGAGTACGATGATTTTCAAAACTCGTTTGAAAGTTCCTACTTTTCCTATTTTCACTGTTTATAGGAATATAAATATATCATAAAATTCACCTCTTATATACTTGCAGTCACAAACATCTATAAACGAAATTTAACAGCCAATCGAAACACTTTTATGGAAACAAACAGTTATAATATTTTTTATGTGTCGTTTAACATTTATGACCTTCGAACAATCCAACAATAATCATTCACAAATCCTCAGATCTGGTTAATGTTATACTAATGATGTTATGTCTACCATAAAATTACGGCTCATGTTGTATAAATATCATAAAATATTATTGGTCCTATGGACAACAGACCCTACTTTATTTCACGTAATAACCTGTAGCTTGACTGTAATTACCTGTTATCATGCTAATACAGATACAGATATAAAAATAAACCTTATTTATAAATGCATTACGCACAGTGTTCGACTATGCATTCGCACTTATCCTGACTCATTCTGAAGAATTGGTCAAAACCACTAATGGTATAGCCGCTAAGAACCTGGGCATGCACTCGGTTAGAAATGATACCCGGGAATCAGATTGTAATCGCTGAACCAAAAATCCCTAGTGTACCGGGCGTGTGATCTATCCAATGCAGGTGGAAGAGGCTCAGGTATGTGACGCTTCTTAAGATAAGCGAGGCAATGCGTAGGTTGTTGCAAGCCACCTATAGGCTGCATAGTCCTAGCAGAAGGGGAGAAATAAATGCAGAGTGATAAAGCACATATAGAGGAAATTGTGAGCTTTGCTGCCGTCTGTGCTCATGTGTTATTTGCAGACGGTGTACAAATATCTTGCGGATACTTACTGGGTGATTTAACAATTACTACAGTAGGCTGCCATTGCCAATACTATTGAATACCCTTCTTTCATTCATTTAAACATTAAAATTTTGAGTAACGCTCATTTTAGATGTATTATAATGGATGGAAATCTGAAAACGTAATTAACTTTTCGTCTAATTATTCTGATATATATTTCATAATAACCACCTCCACCGTCGGACTATCGACTATTATGCCACTGGTGTCTTTGAGAACCTGTTTTTTTGGTTAGATAAATGTAGAAAATCAAAAGCTAAAAGACTTTATTGCACAAACACACAGCAGAAATATAGACGAAAACAATACAAACATTAAACCAGTTTTGCACAATACGTGGCATTATCGCTTGTCAGCGAATTCTTCCATGCAACCTATAGAAAGATGATAAACAGCTGTTTGTGGTTTCATAACCAAGGAGATATCAGATGTATAAGTAGGTATAAAATATTGTCTCTGTTTATTGGTCTTGGAAAGTTATTTTTTATTTTACTCAAAAAGCTTTGTTTTAAGATTGTTAATATTACTTTTTTATCAACGTAAAAACAAGGTATTTTTCTCCGTTGTTAGAATTCAAACAATATTTTTATGTTTACGACATCCAAAATTAGAAATCAAAGCAAGAAATATATTCGCAATACAAACGCTGATTACAATACGCAAACACAATATGGAGGAGCGAACATTTCCACTCGACAAATGCCAATAGGAATGGCCGAGGCAGAAACACATTCCTTGAATTCTGGAATATCTACGCTTTACAAGAATTTCCGTAAGCGTCCGACTATCCTGACTTTTCGCAAGACTTGCGGAATGCAATTTTATCAGATCCTCGCAGTGGAGAGTCTGGTAATTAAAGCCGAGGAATGCAAAATTGAATGTTTCGGGTTTTTGTGAAAACTACTACGTCGAGATATGATTCGTATCACACTAAAAACTTTCTTAAGAAGTTTTTTAGCACTATACCGATGAATGAAAACGCTCGAAAAAGTTTATTGTTTTTTTTTTAAACGTAATCCAATTCATTGTAGAAGTTATTATAAAACAAATTATCATTGTCCAGTAATTTGGTACCATTTGTCAATTTAATCTAAGAAAAGAGTAGTTAAGAATATATAATACGCTTATCACTTAAAGCAATATTTTTAGAATAAATAAAGTGTCCAATAAACGGCTCCTCGGATTTCATTTTGAGATAACATAACCTTAATAAATTAAAATTTAAACGTTCTATAATGTGATAGAAAATACATTAAGAGTCATAATCAACTCCACAGTAAATGCAAAAAGACGCTATATAAAAGTCAACCGAGTAATCGACAACTCAAATAATATTCAATTTTACACAACATAATATATATCGATATATTATGATGTGTAATATAAAATATAAAATTATAGAAATCAATTCTGATAAGACGCAATTAAATGATTATAACAATAGGTAAGCTTGAACTCTGTCAACATCATTCCGAACCGATTATTAAACTTGATTCATAAATTTCAATGAATCTAAATGTTATAAATTCGGCTGACTCACCGTTACAACATGGGCCGATATCACGATTGGATTTCCAGCGTCTAAGAATCCGGTCTAAAGTCATCGTATCTTTTGCCAAGTGACAGCAACTTCCTTCGATTGTTCCTAAGAAATTTCATTAAACTCTCACCGCAACTCTGATCGGGTCCTATTCAGTGTATTCAACTGTTACCTTTGTGTATTAAGTTATATTTTAACTTCGATGTAACTTAGAAGTGGTGCAATTTCAAAGTTTTGTGTTTTCGACATTTATTTTATAAACTCTTATCCTTATTATTCCTTATTCAATTCCTTCACGCTAGATCCCATGCAGGATAGGCAGAGAAATTCTAGCGTAGTCTTTGCACAGGTTTATCCTTTCCTTGACATAATTACTCTTTTCTGAGACACTCATTCATATTTTTATGACTACCCGAAATCATTTCCAACAATAAGAACAATGCAAAGTTTGTACCGAAAAGTGTTTATTATAAAGAAATTTTCATTCTTTGAAATTACTGAGTAACAATTGGTGTTTTACTGATAAGTGGAGCATATTTAGACTTTTATTATATTATTTACTTTAAAATACTAATATCTTGGGAATTTTATGTTTTTACTTGTATTTTAGTTAAGAGTGGCGCAATTTTGCAGATTTCTTACGCGTGTCTATATTAAGTTATGTGACGTCTGCAGCACAATAATAATAACCGTCGCGCCACCAAAACCCTCAAGTTTAAGAGCGCCTTTTCCAAGAATATGTCATCAGAGAGATTGTTTGATTAAAAAAATATATAATTAAAGTTATTCTTTCGAGAAGCTCAGTGGCGTAGTAGATAACGACGCGGCCCGCGTTTGTTGCTAAGCAACTTTCTCAAAGATCAATCACGGGATGGATGACCAAAAAATTATTATCTCGAGCTACTCCGTGCTTCGGCACGTTGAGCCGTTGAGAAGCGTATTAACGACTGTAAATGTCATTTACAGTCGTTAATACGCTCCTATTCGCATTGGGAGGGTCACGGCCGATTCTCCATGACCATCCAGACTAAGAAAGGCCCCTGCAGTGGGAACGTAAAAGGGCTAATGCCGATGACATGGATTTCTTTATTTTCAATTTACTAATAGAAGATTGCTATCCCTAAAACGACCTCAATTTAAAAACGGAAAGAGTAAAGCTACTCAACATATTATAAAAATTAACGCAAACGCGAAACTGCGTTAAATAAGTTAATTTAAATTAATACTATAAGTAATATTAATTATTCAGAAGAATGTTTTTATGCTGGCAGTAGGCTGGCGCACTCAATGTCTGTAGATAAAAAAGCCACTATGACTCAACCATATTGATCGAAAAGACCCACATGTGAGATTCAAGCGGATTCATGCCCGTTTTCAGTAAACTTAGGAGTCTGCCAAATCTGTCGCCTAAGATGGAAACGCATTTCACCAAAAACTAAGAACCACCTAAGGACATTAAGTAATGTCAAAAGTTATAATACACGTTGTGTATCGCATAACTCATTAAATAACTTTAGAGCCTTGCGCTAGACTATTGCGGAATATAACAGATCACAAATGTGTCAAGGGATAAGAGAAAAAATGATTATTTGAAATTTAACTTAGCTACTTAGGCGATTCATATGATTAGGCATTTCCTTGTTAAGCTATGCCTTGTTCTAGGTTAGTGAAAACGGAGATCAATGGCTTATTTTTATTGGTCGATCGTTAGTTTATCGATAAATTTAAGAATTTGCCCGCGCTCAGCTTTAAAAAAGAGCAGTCCGATCTTGATTTTTATAACGGATCACATTCGGAAATCATACTAATCCACCACAATTATTTCACTTCTATATGTGAGGTACATTAAATCCTTACCCCAACGTTAAAGGAGATGACCTTAACTACAGATTAACAAAGATATGTAACACCATAAGGTGTACTATTTTCGGACCTCGTTTAAGTTTACACTCGACTGCTTGGGCCCTTTCGAGTCTTTCATATGGAACTGCTAAGAGCTTTCAAAGGGCCTCTCTGTCAGATATTGTAAGAAAAAGGGTCTGTTTGAAAAAAGATCATCATTCTAAGACGAAAAAACTAATATTTGGTGTTATGATAAATTATACAACTGTTGAGATTCAAGTATAAGATCTTGCTTATCAAAACATGAATTATCTTTAAAAAATACAAATATAATTATACAGGATCATATACTTTGTCCAATTTCTCGTTCTCATTAATGATTCTGTAGCCATTAATTCTATATCTAAATATTTAAAAATAACATTTGTATTTTCCCGTATGTAGTTATACTGACACTTTTATTCTAACGTTTACTTTTTTCTTTCCAGAATCTTAAGAATCAAATCATGACAACGAACGTGTGGGTAGAACAGGTAAGTGAAACAAATCAATAAAACCAATACATTTCTTATTATTTCTTACTTGGTTACACATATTTATTTTTAACAGATTCTTAGTTGTAAAGAAGTCACGGGCGTTAATTTTTTAATTTATTATTTATTTAATTGCTTTATTTTAGGGACACGACTTCCAGTTGCCCTAAACGAAATTCAAAAAATATGATTTGTGAAAAGTGTATTTTGTAATATTCAACGTTTTCCAATACTTCTTATAATAAAACTAATTAAAGGAGTATGAATATTTTGATTGCCCTACTGTTGCCCCATTTTATATCTCATTCAAAAGAGAAGTAATCAGAAAATATTAAGCAAATTATTTTTTTAAAAACAGAGATAATAATAGACGTCAAGGTGAAGAGAGTTTGTAGAAAGTCAGTGTTATAACATCTTTTTAAGTCATTATCTGACCTGATTGATAAAAATATAAACGATCTCATTCGACAAAATCTCAAACAAGTGTTTTTAGCCAGTCATCGTTTGTGTTTACGTAATGAAATTCTCCATAGTAAAATAATAATGTATAGACTCAAATATAGATATCTCCTCATAAAATGGCGACATTTTAACTGCATTCTCTTTCGTTTTGGTTCTTCATTTATGTTATATTTTATCTGTGGGGAGATCCTGGTGACCTGACACACAGGTTTCTACTGAAACCAATTTCGGGCTCCAGTCTCTCACAAAATTAAGATACAAAATGTTTTTAAGAATCTTAAGACTCACATGTATGTACATAATTTTGTGTTGAGAGAATAAATGATTATTATTATTATTATTATTATATTTAAAAACAAACTGAATAAATTCCTTGTCATAAAAACAAGTTATACTAGCAAGGGACATCATTCAATCTTATTAAAATAGTCAAGTAGGTATGATATTTAAACCTTTCTTTCAAATTGCCAGCACATTCACGTATTTCATCGAGAATAATGTGACCAAATTATCACATTGAAACAGGACGTCTCCCATTCTGTGCGTCTCAGAAGTGACAAATGGTCACCGGATAGGACGGTCGCATCAATGTCAATAGCAAGGGAAGACACGAGGGGACCTTTCTTTCACAGATCTCGACTGTGAGTGATACTGACGTGAAGGCATTTCCTGTGTGATTTTCATAAATTATGGATAGTGAATGGCATTGTATCAGGTTACTTTTTATTAAAAGACGTAAGCTAATATGAATGTTCGGTGTTATTAATACATGATGGTCGGTATATTTGTTGTTACCGTTTTTGTCACTTTGGTTCAGTTTTCGGCTAACCTTGTTCACACTTATGATAAATTCGAATCGACAAGAATGCTATTCAGAAAACTCAGATCCATAATTTGCTTGCATTTATTTCATTAGTGATCAGCACAATATATTTTCATTCACCCTTTCTTATCTATTAAATCTTTTGCAATTTTATACGGGATTCATTCATAATGTAATCATTTTTTAGTCTTTCTTCTGCCGTCCACATGAATAATCAATATATTTTTATATAAACCACTTCTTTTCTATACATGCCCGAACCAAGATACTTTATCACTCAACTAGTGATTGTGGTTTCAAATTCCAAATATAATCTTATAAATGAAATCTTCTTGAAGAAGAGCTTACTCACGCAGTGTTTGGCGTGTGGTTTGCAGAGCGGAAATAAAGTAATAAGCAAAATCTGGACATTAGAGGAGTGCCAAAATTTTTTTACCACGTGCTCTTTCGTGCTTTAGAAGGCATGTCAATCCCTTGGTCTTGGTTATGCAATTGTTAACAACCACCAATCCATACTGGGTCCGCGTAATGATGGATGACGAAGGTAGAAACATTTTCAGACCGTATTCGTGACTCTACTAGTGAAAGTAGTATTTCGTTTTAAAAACGTTTCAGTTTGATTAGTCCTTTCATTTCTAAATATCAATTAACAAATCACCACTACGAATCATATCAAAAGTGTCATGACACAGAAAATGTTAATCGGTTTCTTTTATATATCTGTCTCCAACTTTCTAACATCATTTGTCGACTGGGGAACTATCTCCAAATAAATAAATCGTAAACTTCGGTTCGATGGTCATAACATTTTTATTGTGAATACAAGTGTGCGGGAGGGAAGTTAGTTTGCGGAGAAACCAACAGAGATGCAGATAAAATCTCAAAGGAATAAAAGAGATGAAATACGCGTCACAACCTAATCAATATATTGTTGACTCTTATTATATTCGGGTCATGACATGTACCCAAAGTTACGGAATAGATACCATTAATTTTTGTCTATGATAGCGTGTAAATAATGTCACGTCCAGTTATTATTGCCAATTTCTTTCAGTAGTAAGGCTACTTAAAATTACAATGGTGATAAGTCGTTATGGTAAATATATGATTTTAAAGATTGTAGGACATAACAGGAAATTAATTCAAAGTACGTATCAAATGGCTGTAGATATTGTTTCATCAGCAAAAACAATATTTCATTTTATAAACAATGTGATTTGATTGTCAAAGTCAAAAAAGTCTTAATTCAAATAAACTTATTAAAAGTAATTCTGGATCTTCCAACGTTTTTTTTTTCACCTAGATGCCACTTTTTCGGGGCTGCGAGTCTCAAGTGGCATCTCCAGCCATAATACACAACATATGCCTTGTATTTGAAATGTCCTAAACACATTAACAACAACTTTATTAGCCGCCGCGCTAGACTTCCGAATGGGCACAACTAGCATACTACCTAGTAAATAATGTTGATTTTTAACCATGGGAGAAATGATTTATTTACTAAATTATGTTACTTGAGATTAAAATCAGTTATATAATATGATAGTGAAGATGAACTGATTATTAATAAACCCGGTATCAAACCAATAATAAAACTCATAACTCTGAACAAACTTTATAAAGTTTTTTTTTTATTCATCATCTAACACTGAATTTAGATGAATATTAATATTGTCTTTACATAATGTATACACGCAAATTTAAATGCATACGTGATTTAAGCCCGAACCCATGTCATAAAAACCCCTACAAGTTATAATCGATTTTTCGTGTCGTCCTACACAAGGTATAAAAATATCTAACACAAGGGCGTTCGAAAACGTGTTAACCGGGAACTAAGCCGGCAAATGATTTATGATGCCCTGCTAGGGACAGCCGAGAAGGGAGCCCTTCGTATGCGATACCCCAGTAAATAGATTATCTCTGGCTCCCGTTTGTATTACTATTAAAGTCAAAACTTTCTTAAAAAAATGCCCTCTCTTATCCTCTACTTTCTTTTATTATTAATTGTCATCAGTTCACCTGCCCTCTTATTCTACAACTCTGAAGACAATCTAATAAATTGTTCATATAAATAAGTGCTTTTGTCACATTGAAATTGTTCACTTACTACGGTGATTGTCTTTAAGCTGTCAGTTAGCGAATAGGCATGCTGGTCATAGCGCTTTTGAAGCAAAAATAAAGACGGTCTACGGAATTAAGGCTGACATCACCTTTACGGCTAGATTTCATTGCATATTTAGCCAGTTACGATCTGTTGCACAAACGTCAATTAAGATTTAATGACGTCTTTAAGCTCTGAAATTTGTTAAATTTTATGGGTAATGTTGCTTTAAACTAATGACATTTTTAATGGACGTTTGTGCAATTACCGTTAATGTGCCAACCTTATTCAATAACTTGGTTTTGACTAATAACTTTATCTTTGAAGGTTTCGTGATGCTATTTTTTTAATAAAAATTGAAAACGCTGATATTTCTCCATGAAGCTATTTTCGTTCACGTTAACTATAATATAAGTCGTTGTTTCTATTAAAATTTAGTAGAGATCACGCTTCTTGCAATTTAGTTTATCCTCTAAGCTAGATGACATATATTTTCATTTTTTTTTTCCATTATGCAAGAAGCAAAGTATACTAGTATATATGAAAAAATTGGCTTCTCCTATTTTGAAAATTTATACAAATATTATCTTTTACTGTTGTAGCTCAAAAGCAAATAAAGTGAGGCATTATTCAAATTTCAAAATGAAGGTATTTACAATCTTCATCAATAAAGATGCTTCTTGATATCTGCACTTCTTAAGAGTCAAGTCTATGGTTTAGAATAATTTTCATATTTCAGCAGATCAACGATTTTTTTAAGCAAATTCACATTACATTCAATTAATTCAATTTTATATAATTCAGCATACGTAATATATATATTTATAAATGTTTTTATCTGCGAAAATTACTAAAACAAAACTACCTTTTCTATAATGATACTTCACACTAATTTATTGTAGCTTCCTTTTGTATTTTTTACATTACATATAATTAATATGTAACGTCTTGCTAAAGGCACTAAATAGATTTACCAAATCGCTGCCAGAACTAATGTCATAAAAATATTGTTGCCATGCGGCCAGGATAAAGACTGGCTGTGGGATAGGATTAGTGTCGGCGGTCTCTAGTAGATTAAAGAATATTGCTGTAGAGGTTACTCGTGATGAGGAAAGCTAAATCTTCTACCCCGGTAACTTCATATTTTATGTATCGTATATGTAAGTTTTGATATTAGTAATGCTGTACCGAAACTGTGGAAAGGTTTTAGTTTTTTTTTCAAGAACCTTAAAACTATTGTTTCGGTTTGCTACTGTTTTCTTCAAGTATCTTCATTGATATTTTTTCTGTTCTATGGTTTTAATATCTTGAATCTGCTTATTAAATATTTTGTTTGGCAATGCTTTTGCAAAATATTTTAAAACCAAAAGACACGCGGAAAGTACAAAATCTTACTTAACACAAATCACTCGTCATTAGGAACACAAATCTCAAAGTCGAAGAAATTGACTTTGTTTTAAATTAAGATTTAAATTGAACTTCTTACTGTTGATAATCGATTAATATCTATGGTAAATATTTCGATAATCGAGTAGGGTCGATGATTGCCCACTTACTCTTTTTCCAGCAATATCAGTTGTCATTAAGTAAGAATATAAAAATAAAGACATT